CGCCCCTGACCTTGACCTTGCCCCCCAGGTCCCCTCCACTGCAGCCATGTCCATCCAGAAGATTGTGGCCCGGGAGATCCTGGATTCCCGCGGGAATCCCACGGTGGAGGTGGATCTGTTCACGGCCAAGGGTACGGAGAGGGGCCGGGGGGTGACACGGGGGTTGGGAGGCTGGGGGGGGACTTGGAGGATCTTCAGGGTTGTGGTGGGATGTGGAGGGAAGATAAGGGGGTGCTGGGGACATGGGGGGGCCCTGGCTGGGGGTTGACTGTCCTCTGCTCCCCCAGGACGGTTCCGGGCGGCAGTTCCCAGTGGAGCCTCCACCGGGATCCACGAGGCCCTGGAGCTCCGGGATGGGGATAAGAGTCGCTACCTGGGCAAAGGTTGGACCTGAGAAGGAGAGGGGGAAGTGGGCACAGCCAGGCACCCCAAAAACCAATCAGGGACCCCCAAAACCCTGCAGACCCCAACAAGGTCCCTGAAAACCCAGCTGGGTCCCCCAAGAGCCAACTTCCCCAATGACCCCCCAGTGGTCCAACTGGACCCCCCAAGATTCTACAACACCCCCGAGAGCCATCTGGGTCCTTCAAGAGCTGCCAGGACTCAAATGGGTCCCCCAAGACCCAACCAATGGACTCCCCCCAATGACCCAACAACCCCCCAAGACCCAACTGCATCCTCTAAACCTCCCCCAAGACCTATCTCAGTGCCCCAAAGACACAACAGCCCCCCCAATCCCTCCCCCATCAGTCCCTCCCAACCTCCCGCCCTCATGTGTTTGGTGGGAGGGGGTGACCCCCAAGGTCAGAGGTCACACCCCCTGCCCTGACCCCCCAGGGGTGCTGAAGGCCGTGGATCACATCAACAAGACCCTGGGCCCAGCTCTGGTGGAGAAGGTACGTGTGGGGGAGGAGAGGGGTGGGGGAGGATTGGGGGGCACTTGTGGGGCAGGTGGGAGGCTGACACCTCCCCCCATGCCCCAGAAACTCAGTGTGGTGGAGCAGGAGAAGATCGACAAGCTCATGATTGAGATGGACGGCACCGAGAACAAATGTGAGCTCCCCTCACCCCCCCACCTTCCCCCAGACCCTGGGAAACCTCAAACTGAGCCCCTCCTTCCCGTCCCTCAGCTAAATTCGGGGCCAATGCCATCCTGGGGGTCTCACTGGCTGTCTGCAAAGCCGGGGCAGCTGAGAAGGGGATCCCCCTGTACCAGCACATCGCCAACCTGGCCGGCAACACTGAGCTCATCCTGCCCGTGCCGGTACCCTGGAGCACCCCAGAGGAGCAGGAGGGACTGGGGGCACAGTGGGGGATTTATAGGGGCACAAATGGGTCTTGGGGAGGGGTTGGTGGATGTCTGAGGAGGATTTTGGGGCATCCCACCAAGGTTTTTGGGGGGGTGTTGGTTGGGTTTGGTGGGACCTGGTTGTGTTTGTGGATATTGTGTGATTTATTGGTTCTTGGGGGGCTCTTTGAGTCTTTGGGAAGGGTCTTTGGGTATGGGGGGGACCCGGTTGAGTCTTGGGGGAGTTGAGTCTTTTGGAGTTCATGGGGTCTTTGGGCAGACATTGGAACTTTGGGGGACCTGGTTGGGTTTTTAAGGGGGTTGTCAAGCCCTTAGGGCAAGGCTGAGTCTTGGGGGGCTCTTTGGACTCATTGGGCCCCCCTGGCCAGGCCTTCAACGTGATCAATGGGGGCTCTCACGCGGGGAACAAGCTGGCCATGCAGGAGTTCATGGTGCTGCCGGTGGGCGCCGCGACGTTCCGCGAGGCCGTGCGCATCGGCGCCGAGGTCTATCACAGCCTCAAGGCCGTCATCAAGTCCAAGTACGGCAAAGACGCCACCAACGTGGGCGACGAGGGCGGCTTTGCCCCAAACATCCTGGAGAACAATGAAGGTGGGGGCCCTCGGAACACCTGGCTGCCTCCCAGAGGGCCTGGGTGCTCCCCTACCCCAGGGGTTGGGGGCTTGGAGCTATTTATGGATCCTCCCTCCCACCCCTGGGGTTGGGTTTCGGGGTCACATCCTGAATTAGTGGTAACTGGAGAAAGGTCATGGGGCAGTGGGGGAAGGGCAGGAAAGGGCAGGGGAGGCCCTGGGTCCATCTGGCTTGGGGGGGAGGGGCCCTGAGGGGGCCATGGGGTCCAAGTCCCCTCGGTCAAGGGTCAGCATGGATGGATTTTGGAGACCCTGTGGGGGGATTTGAGCCCAGACCCCTGTGTCTGTCCCCCCTGGGGTGCAGGTTTGGGGGGTAATTGGGGGTTTGGGGGGGGTTGGGTCTCTCCCCCCACCTTGTGGCCGGTGCTGAGTTGGGGTCCCTCCAGCTCTGGAGCTGCTGAAAGCGGCCATTGCCCAGGCTGGGTACCCAGACAAGGTGGTCATCGGGATGGATGTGGCGGCCTCTGAGTTCTGCCGGGAGGGCAAGTACGACCTGGACTTCAAATCACCCCCAGACCCCAAGCGCCTCATCACTGGGGAGCAGCTGGGGCAACTCTACAAGAACTTCATCAAGGACTACCCCGGTGAGCACTGGCATGAAACTGGGAGGGCACTGGCAAGCACAGGGAGACACTGGGAGGGACTGGGGGGACACCGAGAGGGACTGGGAGACACTGAGAAGATACTGGGGTGGATTGGAAGGGACTGGGAGGACACCAGGAGGGAGGGGAAGGCACTGGGAATGCAGGTGGGGACTCTGATGGCTCATACAGGGCTGTGCCTGGGGCCACAGGGTGGTCAGTGTTCCTCTCCCAACCACCAGAGGTGACTGGACCGTACTGGTGCAGACTGGTGGCTGTTTCCCTGCAGTGGTGTCAATCGAGGACCCCTTTGACCAGGACGACTGGGAGGGCTGGAAGAGCTTCCTGAAACAGGTGGACATCCAGGTGGTAGGCGATGACCTGACGGTGACCAACCCCAAGCGCATCGCGCAGGCGGCCGAGGTGAAGGCGTGTAACTGCCTCCTGCTCAAGGTCAACCAGATCGGCTCCGTCACCGAGTCCATCCAGGCGTGAGTCCCCCTGAGAATCCTTGTGCAAATCCCCGTGTAACACCTCTGTCACTGAGTCCATCCAGATGTAAGACCTCCTGTGACCCCTCGTGCAAATCCCTGTGTAACATCCCCATCCCTGAGTCAATCCAGGTGTGAGTCCTCCTGTGGATCCTTGTGCAAATCCCTGCCACCGAGCCCATCCAGGTGTGAGTCCTTGTGTGACCCTCCCCTGTGCAACACCCCTGTCACAAAGTCCATCCAGGTGTGAATCCCCGTGCAAATCCCTGTAGAAATCCCCGTGCAAACCCCCTCGCTGCACCCACCCAGGTGTGAGTCCTTGTGCAAAGCCTTTGTGTGCAGCCCCTTGAGCTCCCTGTGCACGACCCCCGTGCGAGCTCAGGTCCCCTTCCCAGGTGCAAACTGGCCCAGAGCCACGGCTGGGGGGTGATGGTGAGTCACCGCTCGGGCGAGACCGAGGACACCTTCATCGCTGACCTCGTGGTGGGGCTGTGCACGGGCCAGGTGAGTCCCCTCGTCTCCCGTCACCCCCTGTGTCCCCCAGCACCCCTCAATGTCCCCTCTGTCTCCCCAGATCAAGACGGGAGCTCCCTGTCGCTCCGAGCGCTTGGCCAAATACAACCAGCTGATGAGGTGAGGCAGTCCCAAATCTCTGTGTCTCCCCATCCTTGTCCCCAAACGTTCATCCCCCCACCCTGTGTCCTCACATCCCCCACAGGGAGCTGGGGGGAGGCCCCGGGGGCAGTTGGGGGGTCCCCAGGCCCATCCCCATGTACCCTGCCCAGAGTGTCCTTGTCCCTGTGTGTTCCCCATGTCCCACCCCCGACCTCTGGGTCACCCCATTTGACCCCATGTCCCCCCACTGACCCCCAGGATCGAGGAGGCGCTGGGGGACAAGGCCAAGTTTGCAGGGCGCAAGTTCAGGAACCCCAAAGCCAAGTAGGAGGGGGAGGGGCAACAAACCCAGCCTGACCCCCCTCCCAGGGGTCGCTCCCCCAACTCCCTCAATAAACTCTGAAGCACCACGAGCCCCCAGCCCATTGTTTGTTTGGTTTGGGGGAGGGGGGAACACAAACACACCCCCCAC